TCAGTTTGTCAGAGAAGATTGACTCCCTTGACCAAAAGGCATGCTGTTAAGGAGTAAGGGAAATGAATCGTATCCTTGACCACAGGCAAGTGGTACTTCCTGGGGAGCAATGCTGAAAAGAAGAAGGTGATGCTGAATGTTGCCAGCAATTCTGGCATTGAGGGGAACCCAGTTAAATAGACTTTTTTTTGGTGGCACAACATCATGGATAAGAGGTGACTTGACCTTGGATGATGAGACTCAACCCATCTACAGTCATGAACTATCAGCTCTATTAAATACCTGCCAATGTGCCTTTCTAGTCCTTAGATTTGGATTATCTAGTCCAGTGATGTCAAACTCAAACAGAATTTATCCCAGCTGGCCACATATTGACCTACAAACCCACAAATGAGCATTATCTATGTGGTATTGTATTTTTATTTATTTTGTTAAACATTTCTCAATTACATTTAATCTAGTTTGGGTCCCGCTTGGGAATTTTGTAGGCCACTTTTGGCCCCAGGCTGTGAACTTGACACCTCTGACAATCTGCCCTCCCACATTGTTCAGCAATCTTTTGTATAGAATCCCTAATAGGTGGTCATTCAATCTTTGCTCACAAGCCTGATGACAGGACTCATTACGGGCAGCTGTTGTTGGATCTTTTGTTAAAAATCTATTTCTTATATTGCCTCCAAATACGTTCCATCCATTGGTCATACTACAATATGGAGTGCCATATTGCTAATAAGTCTTCTCTATCTTTTATGTTATTGTCCTGCAGATGTTTAAAGGCAGTAACCATGTCCCTCCCTGAGCTTCCTTTCTTCATATGATATGGTTTCCACCCCTTTCACCATACTGCCATTCCCTGAATAATTCTCTACTTTGTCTTTGACCTTTGTCAAACGTAGTGCTCAGAAAAGAGAACAATGTTTCAGTTATGGTCTCCCCAATGCAGAGAATAGAATAACGATGACGTCTTTTCAACTTAGTTCAATAATATATATTAAGTACTTCCAATATGTGAGGCATTTTAGTAGATGTGAGAGATTCAAAGTCAGTCTCTGCTCTCAAGGCACTTAACAGTCCGGTAGGGGGATACAGCATGGAAACCGATCAGTAAATGGAAGGTAATTTGAAGAGAGAGAGAGAGTGCTAACAACTGGGGAGATCATGGCAGGCTTCATAGAGGCCACAGCTTCTGAAGGTGGCACATGATCTGAACATTAAACTTCTACTAGTGCAGCATGGGATTGAGTCAGGTTTTGTTTGTGAGTTTTAAAGTCATTTTATTGCATTGTTTGCTCATTCTCTCTCACTCTCTTTTTTCCCTCTCTCCCTCCCTCCCTCCCTCCCCCTCCTCCCTCCCTCCCTCCCCCTCTCTCTCTCTCTCTTGATATATATATATATATGTATGTATATACATATATATGTATGTATGTATGTATGTATATACATATATGTATGTATTATAGTCAACTTATCCTCTCAATTCTTTTTCATATCAATTACTGCCAAGCCAGGGCTTCTATCCTATGCCTAGCAACTTAAATATGGGATTTACATTTATCCATTAATTTATTTCTTAAAAATTGTTGCCTATTCAAATGTTTTATTTATTTTTTATGATTCTATCATCTATTGGACTTAATAAGCCTATTTGTTTACACAATTCTTATCTCTGTTTATTTCCTTGGCTGTAGTCCATAGTCTAGCAGGAGGTGAAGTAAAAGCCTTTGAAACCAAAACACTTAATTACCTTTCTCTTGCTTTAAGGGAGGCCTGGTTGAGAAATACAGCAAGCTTAGAAATGGAAAGGGAGAAGATAGGGCAGCTTTCCATGAGCCTCCGATGTTGAGATCAGTCTGGGAGCTGGCTGGAGATGAGGAAGGATAGTTTCCTAAGATGGCTCTCATCAGTCAGATCTTTATAGCTTAATTTTATATTTAGTGTGAAATTTGATCTAGCATCAGAATGTCACTTCAAATACAAGCACATGTTCATCCCCAGCTTACATATGCTAAATTTATGGACTTTTAAAGATAGGAATGGCCACTCTGGAGAAGCTTTCCTAGCCAAGTGAAGGGTGTATCTTATTCATTCATATTCCCAAGTCCTATGACAAGCTGTTGTGCTTTATAGCACTTGGGGTCTGATATTTCCTAAATTCAGAATATCTAGAGAAAAATATTAGGAGCCAAAAAATGGTGGGTTCATCTCCTTTCTTACTTTGTTACTTCGCAAGATCTGTAATTTCGTTACTGTGGACACACCATTAACCCTGAGAACAAGCTCCACCCCTTAGCAGATGGCTTTTATGAACTGCTATGGCCAAAAAATTCATCAGTAGGTGGCCATCCTGTTAACAAGCCTGTCCTATCTTAGCTAGACTTGTCTTCAGACAAAAGACACGTAGTCCGTTATGAGAATCACATTTGATACTTTTCCATCTTGGGGAATCTGTCAGACCTTGTACTCCATTGGCACTGACTTTGAGAACCCAGGGCTGTTTGGAGACTAAGAGCCTTTAAGACTTTCCATAAAAGAGAAAGGACAGAGAACTCACTTCTGTCCTGTAGTTGGGCTACTGAATATTCATTTAGCCGGTGGATTAGTTCGTTTTGCCAGCTTATTTGACCAGTGGTTTCAGTTTTGATAACTTTGTTAGTTTGAGCCTGTATATGTGTGTATGGGAGTATTGGTCCACACTTGTGATTTCATTTTTGCATGCATGGAACTGCCAGGGTGAAAATTCTCTCTGGAGGCAGCCAGGTGGCACAGTAGATGGAGAACTGGGTTTGGAGTCAGGAAGACCTCAGTTCAAATCCAGCCTCAGATACTTACTAGCTATGCGATGCTGGACAGGTCACTTAATCCTGTTTACCTCAGTTTCCTCAACTATAAAATGGGGATAAAAATAGCACCTTCCTCTCAGGGTTGTTGTAAGGATCAAATGAGATAATATTTGTAAAATGCTTAACACATAGTTGGCACATTTATTAAGTGCCTTCTTTAAAAAAAAAAACTTTTCTATTTGCTTCATTTCCCCTTCCCTCCACTAATGCAGATGGACATTTACCCGTATTCTTTCTCTTCGCTGGGTAAATTGGTTCCATTTATGAAATGTTACATCAACAGTCAATCTAAATTTACTATGCTGGACAGTTTGGCCTGAGATGAAAAGCTTCTCAGATGCCTGGCTGTTTCTGTATGAGCTCAGCATGGCACCACACGCAAACTCAAAAGCCAGTGTTTATTGAGAGGGGTTCTGTTGTGGGACTGAGGGAGGATGGACATATAGGAAATTTTGGATGGTTGTCCTGTATTGTTCTTTAAGCACTCATTCATTCAACAAACATTAAGTATTTTGTTCAGTTGTTTTTCAGTCATGTTCAATTCTTTGTGATCCCATTTGGGGTTTTCTTGGCAAAGATACTAGAATGGTTTACCATTTCCTTCTCTGGCACATTTTACAGATGAAGGAACTGAGGCAAACAGGGTTAAGAGACTTGCCCAGGGTCATACAGCTAATAAGTGCCTGAGGCCAGATTTGAACTCAGGAAGATGAGCCTTCCTGACTCTAGATAAAGCATCAGAAGTATGGTTTTAATGGAGAACTTTCCCATATATTCCTTTAATGAGACTGCATGTGTGATTTCACTGGTATAGGGAACTCCCAGGTGAGAAAACTCCCTCTACCAGTTTATATTGTTACCTGTTCTGCAACTTACAATCTTAAGAGAGTTGCCTGGGGACAGTGATAGGCTAAGTGACTTATTCTGGGTCACATAGTCATTATGTGTTAGAGGTGGGACCTGAACGCATGTATTTGTGGCTTGCTCTCTATTTATTATACCACATTACTTTTTAAATGTTCCTTTAATAAACCTGGGAAAAAGGGAAAGAAGAGGAAAAAGACTTCAGATAGTTGCAGTTCAGACCCTGAGAAGCCTTCAAAGTCACTTTAGCTGTGGCTCTTAATTACTTATCTCCAGCATAAGCATTTGACACAAACTATTAAGAAGGTGTTGTTAATTGTGGTCTCCAGTTATATTGCACACAAGAATACTGTCTTCTTCTACTCTTGTGTAGCTTCTACTGGGGCCCCAAAGCAGAATACAGTTAACACTTGTTTCATATTTCCTGTTCACCTAGTGATGGTTTGTTTTTTCCTGTACCTTGAGGGTTGGTCTACACTCACCCTCTCAGACTCTGGAGGCTCAGTAGGCATCTTGAAATTAGGCAGAAAAACTTCCTTGTATTCAGTGGTGTAGCTGCAGCCTAATTCCACCCAAAAGAAAACCAAGTTATATTTCTAAATGAATATTAGAGGTACTGGGCAAGGAAAGTCTATTCTTTGGTAGTGGGATGCCTTATTTGTCTTTAAATTTTGATCATGAATAGAAAAAAAAATATGCTGTTCATCTTCAGTGAAAACCATTGACATATAGACAGGAGACATGGGTTCAAATCTCACCTTCACTATTAAACAGTTATGACTGTGGGATAGTCACTTCCATCTTTTTGAGATTCAGGTAGCTTCTCTCTAAAAGAGAGATAGTTTTCTCTTATTCATGGAGTTGTTATGAAGAACAAGTGATAAAACATTTGTCAGTGTACTTTGTAAATTATAAAACATGGGAAAAATGTGTGACTTTGTTTGCAGAGTTTGTACTTTAATCAAAATTTAAAAGCCATTCAGGTTCTCTTCTAACGTGTCTCATGTCCCAAAACAAATATCTACCCTGAGATTTAGGAAATATTTAAACCATTGGTTTCATGTTGTGATTTAAAACATTTCATTTGATCTCTGTGTATTTTGTGACAGTGTAAAAAAGTTAAAATCAAATCATCATATCGTATTTGGGGTATAGGAACTTCTATAGCTGCTGTTTCTATTGTTGATGATGGCATGAAAACCTTACTTTTAGGACAGTGATATTAAATTATTATTTTAAGTCTTAACTTTCTAATAATGGCTTCAAACCTGTCAATGTTGATTTTTTTTTCTCCAGATGGGCAACAAATTTGGGAGATGGAAGCCACAGTGGATAAAGATAAGAGCCAGCCTGTAAGTGTGCAAATGACAATATTTTCTAGATGATGAGACATTGCATCAAACTAACCAGTGAAGGCAGAGAGTGTCTAGATTTAAAATGGTGATATCTACTTTAACAGAATTTGATATTCTTAACTGGAAGCCCATATCTCCTTCCTTGTAGCTTGTGATTAATGATAAATATGCCCTATTGGTAATAGAGATTGTTAGAATTGAAAAACTGAATTGCCTGTGAATAGATTTTAGACTCTAAACTCTTCAGCCTTCCTTCTGAGATCACTTCCAGTTTATCTTGCTTGTACACAGTTGGTTTCTAAGTTGTCTCCCTCCACTAGAATGTGAACTCCTGGAAGGTAGAGATCATTTTTGCCTTTCTTTGTATCATTAAGGCTAAGGACAGTTCCTGGCACACAGTAAGCTGTTAATAAATTAATGTTTATTGACTTGTCAATTATCTGGAATATATCCATCCCCTAGGCCACCTGTCACAAAGAGACCCCTGTTACATGGAATGGCAAGGGATTTCTCTCTAATTGATTGCAACACTGAGGTAGGAAATCTAACTCATGCTTCATCTTAATTAATAGCAGCTTCATCCTTTCAGAGTATGCTTTTTGTTGAAATACCCGAGTATCGGAACAAACATATCCGCACACCTGTGAAGGTGAACTTCTATGTCATCAATGGGAAAAGAAAAAGAAGCCAACCTCAACATTTTACTTACCATCCAGGTAATTCTCCCCCTTGGGAGCAGTCATTCAGGGAAGGAAGGGGGATACCTTATTAATAGATTTGTCCATTTCTCTTCTTAAAAGAAGGTCCATAAGTTTGCTAACTTAGTGAAGAATTGATGTCTGACCCACAGTACCACTGGCAGCTAGAAATCATGTATCTATGTGGAACAGACATGTGAGCTTAGACAAATGAGAACTTCATGAGGTCTGTAACCTGGGAGTAGGTTGTGATTGTATGAAAGCACTTGGTGGAAGACCAACGTAAGCTATTTCTATTCAGTATGCTACTATGATGCTGACTAGGGTAAAATTTATTTCCTTTTATATAAAAAAATTTAAATTTAGATTTAAAAATAATTTAAGTATTTTACTTTAAATATAAAATTTTGAAAATATTTTAAAGTTATAAATTTTATAGTAGTTTTGACAAATAAAAACAAAACAAATAAACAAAATGAAGACTAAAAGAAAAATATTAAATTTAATAAGATAACAGAAAAAACTAATTTTCCCTGGGTCCCCTTTCAATCTCATTTCCTTCTGTAAATACAGTTTTGTTGCTCTTATTGTTTTTTTATATTGACTTATTCAATGTGTATCTCCTTCTTCCAATTCTACTTGTGACCAAGGTAAATCAGAAGGCTTAGAGTGATTTTTTTTAACTTGGGAAAGTAGGTCACAGTCTTCCCAAGGGGTGATCCAGACTTTGCCGCATTCCCAGCATGGGAAACATAGAATGAGAGAATATCACCAAAATGTGTAATTTCCTGTCCCAGGCCAAACACAGGAGCTTATAGGCTCCTGAAAGCAAGAAAGAGAGTCTCGGAGCTGTCTCTGGCTTCCCTACCCCCAATTTGGTTTTATTTAAGTGATGGTTGTGGGTTTGCGCTGGCTCTCATTCTGCCTAATATAGCCGATCCAGACCTTATTAAAATGTGTCTGCTCCAGAACATTGGAGGCATTAGAGCTGATGTAATAAACCGTAAATGTTGGTGGTTAAATCACTGAAGCTTAAATACAACATAGAATCGTGTGAAAGCCTCATTTTGAATCCTGTCCTCCACAGGCAGAAAGGACAGTTTTTCAATTACATTTTATAGCACTTTCATAACATAAAATTTGTGGTGAAAATATCCTCCAACTTAGTCTTTGGCCTTGGAGTGCCTGATCACAACCAGGGCCAAAGCCCAGTATAACAGTGGGCAAAGGAATGGAGTTGTCAGTTTTGAACATTGTTGGTTTTTTTTTGTTTTAGGCAGCTCACTATTTTTAAAAAATGGATTCAGTTCTTCAAAGTTTATTTTAATTTTTGTCTTACCTGAGTCTTCAGCGTGTACTTGATTTTTAACATCTGTTTCTTAAAAAGACTGTGTTTGCACTCCATTCATCGATCCATTTAACCCGGTGAAAGGTATGAAATGGAAGAGGAGTGCATTACTCTAGGTCTCTCTTTAGGGCAAGGAAGATCTTCCACTGTCTTTCAGTCGCTCATTAAGAATAATGTACTGTACATGCTTTATTCTAGTTCCATCCATCAAAACAGAACCCATTGATGAATATGATCCTGCCTTAATCTGCAATACAGTGCACAGTGCCTTGGGAACAGTAACACAGCCTTACTATTCACAACACACAATGGCCACTGAGTCCCCTTCCTGTCTTGTGGCCACTATGGCATCGTGCCAACAGTTCCGCTCAGGTTTATCTTCTCCCGACTCTCGGTACCAACAACAGAATTCAACAGCTGTAATATACCAGAGGAGCAAGAGCTTGAGCCCCAGCCTCTTGGGCTACCAGCAGCCCGCCTTGATGGCCTCCTCCATCTCCATTTCAGATGCTCACCGATCAGTGCTCATGCATGCTGGCTCTCCAGGCCAGAATTCGGCTCTGCTCCACCAGTCTCCAACCAATCAGCAGTCTCCTCCAGTGATTCACTATTCTCCAACCAATCAGCAGGTGAGGTGTGGAACCCACCAAGAATTCCAACACATCATGTGCTGTGAAAATTTTACATCCAGTGCTGCCCGACCCAATCCACCCCAAGTCAGCCAAGCACAGAGGATAAGTCCAAGCTCCTATCCTACGGTAATTCAGCAGCAGAATGCTACAAGTCAACGAGCTGCTAAAAATGGACCACCAGTTAATGACCAAAAGGAAGTATTACCAGCAGGAGTGACTATTAAGCAGGAACAGAACCTGGACCAGGCCTATTTGGATGATGGTAAGATGCTTGTTTTTATCATTGCCTTCACATAAACTCTAGAAAATCCCCTAGAAAAAAGAGCAAGAAAGAGTGTGTAACCTTGGGCAAGTCCCTGTTCCCTTCTGGGTTATAAATCAGACGATCTCTGAGCCCCTTCCAGTCCTACAATTCATTGATTCTATATGCATATACATTTGTAGAAACCAATTTGCCAGTAATGCATTTGCTGGGCAGCAACTGGGCTTTTAATCTCAAAAAAACCAAAAAATCAAAAGACAATCCCTTAAATCCCAATAGTGACTTTTCTCCCCCCCCACCCCAACATGATTTGGAACATGGTTGGTTTAAATTGCTAGCATTTTCTCTCCATTTGCCAAGCTGAGGTTGAAAGTGGAAAAACAAGAGAGAAGCTTTCCAACTCCCTTCCATTCTTGTTGGGAGAAAAAATAACACTTTATAACATTCTCTTGGATATCTTGGGGGTGGAAAAATAAGAAAAAAGCTCATTGAACATTTTATATAGATCAGGACATAGAGTGTGTGTGTGTGTGTTTATGGGGGGGAGGGGGTTGTGCTGCAGGCCAAACTTTGCAGATGTCCTGGCTGAACAGTAGTACATTGATGAGTTAGAAACAATGGATTTCCTTTGTTGGGAACCCAATAGATATGGTTGTTTGGCCCAAGGAAAGGCTGCAGGGAAGCTTGATTTGAATCCTCCATCTTATTTGTAGGTGGCTTGGCTCATTAGCAAAGTGGCCAATGGGTTATTTTTGTGAAGAAACGGCCATGTCACTCTTTGCCCTGTGACCAACTAGCACCAGGGGATATGGATAGAGCTTGGATATGATCCAAAATTTGCTTCTAGTTAGTGGAGGTCAGGGAGGCCCAGAGATGGAAAGAGAAGGGGGTGGGGCAGGACATAGCATAATTTATTGCTCACTTGGAAAATATATTTTGGGAAAGGAAATTTCTGCTATTATCAGCCAATAATTATTCCTATAATTTAACTCTCTTGAACACACCTGAGAATGAGGAAGGCAGCAAACAAAATTTCTAAGAAGCCAAAATAGAAGATACAATGCTCATCTACTTTATTCATAGGAAAATGCTTCAGGCTCTGATTCACAGCCTATTTACTCTGGTTTTTCACACAGTTCTATCAAACTTGGTTATCAGCTGACAGCAGATTGGAAACGGAGAGAGATACCCTCTGCAGCCTGATATACTAAAGTCACAAGGAGTGACAGCTAATAGCAAGGGAAGAGACAGGACAATTATAAAAAAAAAAACCAGACGTAATAACTCAAAAATCCCTGCAGTCTGGCTTTATTTAGTGTCAGATCAATCAACTCTTAATAGCTCCTGATGCCATCACTATTTTAAAGAATGATGTAGCATTCAAAATCCATAATGATCGTAAATCATAGAGGAAATTATGTATATTACCCCCTGAAATTTCAATTTTCCAGAAAATTCACTTATGAGGCATACTTCATTTCCCTGGGGACCTGGTAAATAATGTTTATCATTGAAGTAACAATATATATTTCTCTCCAAGTATCTAGGGATTTGTGTCCTAAATGACATGACTTATAAATCCACCTACAAATGAAGAGATTTTCCTTTGGATTTCTTCATTTGTAGATTGGAGACATGGCAGCTTTCTTCACATATTTGAGAGGCTGTCACAGAACAGGGAAGAGAGAATAGGTTTGGTTTGCTTTGTCCCAAAGGGCAGAGCTAAGATACTGGGTAGAAGATGCAGCGAGGCAGACTTTGGCTTGATTTAAAGAAAACCTTTCTAATATTTTAAGCTGTCTGAAAGTTGAAAGGGCTTCCTCAGGAAGGTAGAGAGTTTCTTCTCACTAGAGATTTTAAAGGACTACTTGATGAACACTTTTTGGAGATGCTAGAGAAGATTCTTGCTCAGATAGGGGTTGGACTAAGTGACTTCTGAACTCCCAATGTTTTGATTTTGTGAAACAGATGAATAACTGGTGGGAGATCCTTCTCCCCAAATCTACTCCTTCTTGGGTTGTATTTGAGTTTAGAGTAAGGGATGAATTGGTTGGTTCCATTTTCTTATCTCACGTTAAAACAAACAAACAGTTACCTTGGACAGTGCCTTAGAGGTCCATTCTCTTGTTGCAAATGATTCATCTCTATCATAGCAGCCAAACATGTAAGTCATTAATGAAAGGGTTGAACAATATGATCTCTAGGGTCCCTTCTATCCCATCTTCATATACTATCATCCTACTCAATCATATCTGTAAAGTTTAGAGATGCTTGAAGATATCTGGATGATGAAACTTTAAATTTTAGGGTGAGAACTCCAGTGCTGAGCCCTTCTCAGAGACCTAAAAAACCAAAGGCATCTTTCTGGTGGGGGGAAGGGGGAGAGACTTGAATAACTGGACAGATCATGGATTCTTCTTAATTTTAAAAGGTGTTCATTTAGAAAGAAATGATTTAAAAAGTCAAATGTGATAACACTGTTAATTTGAAGGAAAATGTGGTGGAATAGGAAGAACACTGAATTTGGAATTAGAGAGCCTGGGTTTGAGTTCCTACTATCTATCTATTTGGTGACCTTGGGCAAATCACTTCATCTTTCTGGCTCTCATTTTGCTTCTCTATAAAATGAGAGAATTAGAGAAGATGATCTCTAAGTTTCCTTCTAATTCTCAATCTAGATCCTTTGCAATCCCCACAGCAAGAACCCCTTGGCCCTGCCAACAGTTGTCCTTAAGCTTTGGCTCTGCCTAGGACAGTGAGACTGGAGCCAGATGGAAAGAAAACTGGAAAGCAACTTCAAGCCAGCGCTCCATTAAAAATCAACTATTCTGCTGCTGGTTGTGGGTTGAACATTGCATGGAAGGCCAGTCCTCTTGGAGAGGGACAAGTGTGGGCATGTTATTCCAAATCCTGGGCCAAAAAATGCACCCACAGCTTTTGCACCTGTGAAGATGTGGGTGAAAATTTGGCTCCAAATCTGTGGGATATTAAGATAATCGTAACAGATGCATTCCATCCTACACATCCATGGAAAATGTTCACAATCTGCATGGCTGGCATTACCTAATGTGAGTTTGGTTTCTTTTTTGACATTCATTTTTATTTCATTTTTGTGCATGAAAATTGAAATAGTGATTGGGATTTTTCTAATGGCTTTTTGGGAGACATGAGGGAAAACTTCAGGTCTTTAGGACTATTTTCTCTATATATCTATTTAAAATTCAGAAATGGGTTCCTTCCATTTGGCATTAAAATTCAGTGGGGATTTTGCCTTTGGGAAAGCCCATTTATACTCTCTTTTCCTTTTGCATAATCCTCATGTTTATACAGGAGTGGTAAAAATTCAGTGTTTGTATATTTTTTATTTATCTTAGAATTTTACAGCCAGCTTCCCCCTAAGTATTTTTTAATTCATCTTTCTACATGTGTGTCTGGGAAAAATAATTCCCATGTGAAAACAAGTTATTGGTGAAGAAGATTCACCTGCTCTTTTGTAAAAATGTAAATCATGATAGCTCACTTTCATGTAGCACTTGAAGTTTTAAAGCGCTCAGAATATGCTTCTATCTCACTGGATCCTCACCACAACTATATGAGGAAGGAAATGCAAAGAATGTGATCCTCATTTTGTAGAGGAGGAAACTGAGGAAGAACAGAGAAGTGAACTGACCTGCTGGCCCAGGAACATTCAGCAAGTGTTTCTATGGATTTGGAGCTCAATGACACTTTGGAAATATGGCTGTCTCTTCCTCCCCTCCTTTCTCTCTCCCTTCCTCCTTTCCTCCTTCCCTCCTTTCCTTCCTTCCTTCCTTCCTTCCTTCCTTCCTTCCTTCCTTCCTTCCTTCCTTCCTTCCTTCCTTCCTTCCTCCCTTCCTTCCTTCCTCCCTTCCTTCCTTCCTCCCTTCCTTCTTCCTTCCTTCCTTCCTTCCTTCCTTCCTTCCTTCCTTCCTTCCTTCCTTCCTTCCTTCCTTCCTTTCTTCCTTCCATTCAAGCACTGTACAATGGGAGATACCATAGAATTAGAAGTCCTGTGTTTAAGTTTGGGCTCTGCCATTTACTAGCTTTGTAATCTCTGAGCAAGTCATTTAATTTCTTTGTGTCTCAATTTTCTCACCTCTAAAATCTCCAATACCCACCCCACAGGATTGCTGTAATTTTTAAATGGCAATGAGCAGTGAAATGCGGCCTGCCATCATCGAAATTAATCATCTTCAAAATGAGGGGATTGATCTCCAAGGTTCCCAACAGTTTTAGAGTTCCACAGTTTGTGTGTTAATCAGTGTTTTTATTGCTCTCTGCCCTCTTTTCATCCTTCAGTTTTTTGACTGAGCTTCCTGCTTCCTTTATCCATCCACCACAGGGTCACTTTTTCCCTTGCCTTGATGTCTTATCCTACATCATGGGTCTCTTCAACACCCTCTTCTCAGTCTTTGCTGCTTTCTGTATTCTTCCAATTCCTAGGATTTCATTTGGGTGTTCTGAAATTCTGAAATAACAAAAATTTCAATTCTGTTAGAAGCAAATTTTTTATTTTTGCATAAGCAAAAATTAATCATTTTGCCAAGTAAATGAACTTTCCTAAGAGAAGGAGTTAACATTGATCTTTTGTGCTTGTGGTCACCTGTTTTCTTTCTCATCTTACCCTGCATCCTTTCTCTTCTTAAGGCTTTGACTATACCTGGGACACATGAGTAACTCCCAGAAGTAGTTACTGAGCTGGGGTGAATTGCAGCATCACTGATGAGAATCAGTTTCTTCATCTGCACAAATACCTGTTTTCTTCTCTTCACCAGTTGAATATAGTCCTCTACCTGGTATCCAAATTAGGCAGCATGGTATGGTGTGAAGATTGTAGGATTTGGAGTCAGAAGATCTGAGTTTGAATACCTGCTCTGTCACAGACTATTTGTGTGACCTGGGCAAGTCATTAACCTTCTGGGGCCTCAGTTTTCATATCTATAACATGGGGGTTGGGAGAGGTAGGTGGGAGTAGATGATGT